ATAATAACATTTTTGGTCTACAAGCTTTGAAATACTACATAAATATAACATATGTATGTGATAGTACAAATCTGATGATGTCTGCCTATACTTGTACAGAAATTGTATACCTAAACCCATGCAAATTTTCCTATGAAGAATTTTATTGTTATCAAAAAAAAATAAAAATAAAAGCAAAAAAAAAAGAAAATATAATGGCTGGGCATATTCCTCAGTGGTAGCATGCTTGGTTAGCATGAACCATAGACTCCATACGCAGCACCAGGAAAATGTTTGTAGTTATTCTGTCCTATAAAAACATGAGTTAGTGTGGTTATGTATGTGTGCATATGTGTGTCTGCCTGTATGCACGTGGGTATGTTTGGAAAATAGTGAAATACATTGGAGGTCAGTCTTAGAAGAGGCCTAGGCTGAATGTGATTCAAAAGAGAGCTTAGGATGACAGCACCCCAGTGTTGGATCAAGGTTCTGGGTTCCTCATGGGAGTTTTAGGCTGTCTCAGGAAAGTGCCCTCATTCACTCATTAATTGTACTCATTCATGTGTTTATCAAACATATGCTGAACCCTTTAATGCTTAGAATACTAAGTTGAATCTGGCATCTCTCCTGGTAGGAAATGCAATGGGTTCACGAATTACTGCAGTTAGCGAAGTGTCTCAAGTACTTCAAATATGAGAAGAGGATGATCTCCAGGCTTCTTGGAGAAAGTCACAATTGAGCTTGACCTTGACAAATTGGTAGGATTTAGTCAGGCACTAGGAGCTGAGCATAGGCTCTGGGGACAGACAATTATCGGTTCTGATCCCTTTTTTTTTATCACTTACCAGTAGTTTGACACTGGGCAACAGTTCCATGCCTCAGTTCCCTCATCTGTAAAAATGGGGCTAATGATATTACCTACCTCATAGGACTTAATGTCAAGCTCCCCACTGGAGCTTTATCCATGTGTAAAGCCCAACAGGTGCCAACCTTTTAGAATATAAGCTTTCTCAAGCCTGGACCCCTGAAGACTTCTGATCCCAGCTTTTAGGGACAGAAAGGACCTCCAAATCTTGGAGGTACTGAACTGTGGTTACTGGGAAAGTTTCAGGACACTGATGGGTTTTACCAGATAAGTGAAGGGCTTTAGAAAGCCTGCAGCTTCAACCATGTTTCTAAGCAGGTACCTACACTCCAACGTGGGATGTGAGGAACTAGAGAGAAAGGTACCCTGGATCATATCCCAGCCTAACTTGTGTGGGTATTAGGAATTACCCTCATTAGCTTCAAGCACTACGGAGCCACAAAGCCAAGTGCGATGAGTTCAGCCTTCAGTCATTACACTTAATTTGTGAGTTTTTTCTTTTTCTTTTTTTTTCTTCTTAAGGTTAAATGAGGGCTGGTGATATATAGCTCAGTAATAGCACATGCTTAGCCTGTGCAAGACCCTATGTGTCATCACCAGCACTGCCAAAAAAGTTCTGATTATTCAAGTAATGCATGAATATTATCTTTTTGAGAAATTATCTTGTTGAGAACCAGTCCTAGCCCAGGTCCAGTGAGTGTGCAGAGAGCTTCCTGCTACCCTGCGCCAGCGGGACCAGTCCCAGCCCAGGTGCAGAGTGGCCCGGACCCTCTCCCAGACCCTT